CATATGGCTCCGTTTTGGCCTTGCACCAGTCCAGAAGCATCTGTTTGACGTTTTTAGCATTGGGGGCTGCAGAGGTGGGGCATTTTTGGGTGGCTTGAGCAGGACTGGCTTTACTGAGGAGGAGAAGTTAGGATGGTAGAGTACACATCTAATAGCACAGCAAATTCAGGTTTCCTCGCTTTACCACGGCAAAAGAATACATGCTCACGTCGCACACAGTTAATACAGTAAAAGCCGTATGTGGCATTTTTCACTGGATGTGTTAGTTTTATACCTCAAAAGTGATTTTCAGACCAGAATTGACTCTTAATATGACTCTTTAACAGATGCTAATGTAGTAGTAGACTAGAACATGTTCAGACTTCGATAGAAGTCCAGGTTATGTCACCACTTTAAGACTAGAATGCCACCCTAAAGCGAGGACTCCCTCAATACTCAAAAGAAGAGTTTAAATTTAAAGTCCAACTTATTCGTGGACATTAACATGACATTTTCTTTATGTGGTTTCACATTGTTTTCATGTTTGGAAAATACTACGTTTTTGTTTTTGAAATAAATGATTTAATTCCTTAAATCGTGGAGTCTTTTCTCAATGATGCTGTCTGCCAATTAATCTCAGTGTGTTTTTGATAGAAATTGCAAAAATAATACAATGTCTACAGTGGCTACTGTTTCCCCCCCAAACAGCGACCTCCATCACAATGGATGCCGTGGCCTAAGTAATTGCTAACACCTAATGAGGATACGTAAAGGCCAAACACAGGAGTAAATATATCGTCAAAAGTTTTTATGTAATCGTTTTTCATACTGTAACTTTGGTTATGCAATATTCACTAATGCGTCAGCGTATGCCATTTTTGGACATTACGATGTATGACGAGCAAAAATAACGACGGTGTTATATTAACAGAACTCGGTTAAATAACATTTAATAGAAAGTAGTCAGACAGAAGAGGACCCAAACTATCAGCAGAGTAAAGGCAAGAGGAATTATCATCTTTGCTTGTTATTTTTTTTCATTGTGTGGATAAACGCATCAGGTCGACGTTTTATAATTCAAGGCATAGACATATTCATACAAATATGTGGTGTGTAACTTCACTCTTTTTGTTTTACTATTACCGAATTTTGGCAGAGAAGCGTTGTTCATGCGCGCATATACGGCATGACATCGATACGTTATGTTCGTACAAAAGTTACGTTGGTGTCGTAAGAACAACCTCGGAATACCTCGTCGCGTCGTGACGACGCGGCTTTGCGCCGTTCGCCGTTTTGGTTTGCTGCGGTTATAAATACTCGTTTTTTTTTCCTTCTTTAGTGACTTTGTAGATGACGCAATGACCCCAAAGGGCAAGGCGGAATCTTCCGGTGGTGACACAGACGCGGCCAGGTACGCAAGGGTCTCCAAGGGGGTCATGGATCACCTGCAGTGCTACAACGAGATTTGGGAGGAGGAGAAGAGAGCCTCCTTTCAGTCAAACCTCGAGCGCTTCTTCAAGATGGTAGCGAGACCTGTACCAGATCCCCCACTGGATCCCGTGCCGGATCCTGAGTCAGATCCTGAACCCTCTGCATCTCCGAAAAAGTAGAGAGAACTGAAACAGCTCCTGTACTCGACCTCATTTTATTAATTTTTTTTTACCTCCTCCAGTATCTCCAGCACCTTCTTTAGCCTGCCCAATTTCTTTATTTTGTCTATCTCTTGCAACCTCACCAGCAAGTTCCAGCTTTCTCCAATTGCATACACGTAACGTGTGTGCCTGCCAGCCGTAGGAGTAAAGGTAAGGAATTTCATTCGTTATGGCCTAAGACTTTTTCCATACAAATATTTATGGTCATTACAACTGAAGGGTATAAACATACCGCTAAACAATCTGGCCTAATTTGACCTACCACATAAAATGATGTGGCGGGGCGGATCTGGCCCCTGGGCCTTGCGTTTGAAACTTCTGACCTAGCGGGTTATGTTTGTACAAAACTTATGTCGACGCCCTGTAAAATAAGCTACAGCCGAGGTTATTTCAGTCAACGAAAACAAAAACTACAATTGAAAAACATTTTTAATTAACTAAAAAAAAAAAAGTGAAAATACTTAAAAGAAACAAACTGAAAGTATATTTTACATTCCCAATACCAGCTATTATATATAGATTATACAATTATACATTTTTATTTATATCGTGCTTTCATAAGAGCTATAACTGTAACAAAGCTCTTTAAACACATGACATGGACAGTGATGCAATCGTAACCACCATCCCTGCATAGGCCTTGTTGTTTGAAGCAGTTATAGATGAAAGAGGAGAGAATCTATTTTTCCCCCAATTGATCAGAGACATCATGCTCAAGACATGCATGATATCCCACACGACTGCTACAAGCTAAGTTTGAAAGTAAACAAGAAGCTGTAGCGTCCACTGATGAAAAAAAAAAAAGATTGGTTCACTTCTTCTGCCCCGTGTAAATCCGCTTCAATTCTAAGCACCGACTCTCAGTTATGAATACGCATTACAGACAAGAGACTAAGCCCTCTTTTTGGTTTTGACCAGGCCCTTTTCAACCAGGAAGCGGTAGAACTCTTGGATGTACGTGTAAACGCACCTACAGTCGAGCTCCTTCATCCGGACCAAGTCTTCGGGGTCCAGCAGTGGGGGACGGCCGGCCGGCCTCCTGCAGACAGAGAAGCATCGACACCGGACTCGTAAAATCAGAGGGTGCAAAAAAGCTACACGGACATTTGGGCCACAACACGCTGACACGAGAAAGGAGGGGTCACTCTACGGTACTGAGCGCCAGCTGGAAGTTGTCCTTGGCCTTGTTCGGGTTCAGGGTGGAATACTCGAAAGCTTTGGGGAAGAAGCGGTGCAACCAAAGCACAGAAGGCGATGCCATCTTTCCAGCTGGAGGAGAAGTTGTGGATGTCCACTCCCTAAAAGAGCGCACACATTTGTGATGACAAAAGACAGAGCAGATCAGCAAGTCACAGCGGGGCCGTGATGACCCCATATGGCTCCGTTTTGGCCTTGCACCAGTCCAGAAGCATCTGTTTGACGTTTTTAGCATTGGGGGCTGCAGAGGTGGGGCATTTTTGGGTGGCTTGAGCAGGACTGGCTTTACTGAGGAGGAGAAGTTAGGATGGTAGAGTACACATCTAATAAAGTAAAAATATTTAACGTCAATAGATTGACAAAACGATTGTCTTCTGGATCAATCTATCACTGACCACAACATGAATAAAAGGGACTGCTTGAATTGGAAAATGAACCTTTGTAACTGAAAATGTGTGTCATCGTAATGGATCTCTGCAATAAGTCAGGGAATACTTCTCCGATCGTGTCAATCCAAACTGCATTTTATTGTTTGAAAAGGCAGATTTTGCACTCTCTGTCTGTGTGGATGTACCTGATCAAGGGTCCATTAATGATCACGTTCCAAAGCTATGCCTTCCATTTCTTCACGGCAAACCGAATGTGTCTACTTGACTTTGTTTAAATGCGAATGTCCAGCCAAGAGACTAAGCCCTCTTTTTGGTTTTGACCAGGCCTTTTTCAACCAGGCAGCGGTAGAACTCCTGGATGTACGTGTAAACGCACTTCCAGTCAGCGGCGGCCACACTTCAAAGAAAAGGAAAGCCATCACCATGGATGTCAAGTTAGATGTCGTGAAGCGATCAAAACGGGGAGAAACGCCGACGAACATCGGCCGCGCGCTCCACTTAAGTCGCTCTACTGTCGTGACTATCATTAAGGCTCAAGATCGCATCCTGGAGCACGTGAAGGCATCTCCGCACATGAAATCGACCATAACAAGCAGGCAGAAAAGCGGGCTACTGGAGGCCAAAAAGTGCACGTGCAAGAGCCTGGCGGCTGGTTTCTTGCTGATAGAGGAAGGCTTGGCTAAGTTCAAGGCTGAGGACCCAGACGCGGCCAGATACGCAAGGGTCTACAAGGGGGTCATGGATAACCTGCGGTGCTACAACGAGATTTGGGAGGAGGTGAAGAGGGTCTCCTTCGAGTCAAACCTCAAGCAGCTCCTCAAGATGCTAGAGAGGCCTGCACCAGATCCCCCACTGGATCGTGTGCAGGATCCTGAAATATAGACGTCTCTACTATAAGCCGCTCTCGCACAACTCAAATTGCCCCACGGGGATAAATAAAGTTTTCGCAATCTGAATCTGAATCAACTGCTTAGTTAGCTCCTGCAGCCTTGATCTCCTACTAAAAAGTAGCGAGAACTCAAACAGATCCTCAACTCGACCTCACTCAAACAGATCCTCACCTCGACCTCATCGGCTTCTTTAACTCCTCCAGCGCCTTCTTTAGCCTGCCCGGTTTCTTCATTATCTCTCTCTCTCTCTCTCTCTCGCCACCGCTTCAGCAAGTTCCAGCTCTCTCCTATCACATACTCGCAACGTGTGTACGTGCTAACCGTAGGAGTAAAGGTAAGGAATTTATTTAGCGTTATAGCCTAAGACTTTTTCATACAAATGTTTTTTTTTTTTTTTTGTAATTACGACTCAACTATGATGGGTGCATTTGCATTTGAGGGTACAAACATACAGCAAAACAATCGGGCCTAATTTGACCTAAAACTTCAATTCAACATTTCCGGTGTCTCCCATGGAAACAATAATGTGAAGGCAGGGTGATAATAGCCTTCAATTAAAATCCTTGATTTCCTCCAATCCCCAACAATGCATTTTCTGATCTTAACACATTTTTGTCCTTCTTTCAATCAAGAAAATGCAAATAACATATAAACTGAGAGGAGGTGGCCCTTCACATACAATCGTTAATCCATTTTAATAAAGTAAAAATATTTAACGTCAATAGATTGACAAAACGATTGTCTTCTGGATCAATCTATCACTGACCACAACATGAATAAAAGGGACTGCTTGAATTGGAAAATGAACCTTTGTAACTGAAAATGTGTGTCATCGTAATGGATCTCTGCAATAAGTCAGGGAATACTTCTCCGATCGTGTCAATCCAAACTGCATTTTATTGTTTGAAAAGGCAGATTTTGCACTCTCTGTCTGTGTGGATGTACCTGATCAAGGGTCCATTAATGATCACGTTCCAAAGCTATGCCTTCCATTTCTTCACGGCAAACCGAATGTGTCTACTTGACTTTGTTTAAATGCGAATGTCCAGCCAAGAGACTAAGCCCTCTTTTTGGTTTTGACCAGGCCTTTTTCAACCAGGCAGCGGTAGAACTCCTGGATGTACGTGTAAACGCACTTCCAGTCAGGCTCCTTCATCCGGACCAAGTCTTCGGGGTCCAGCAGTGGGGGACAGCCGGCCAGCCTCCTGCAGACAAAGAAGCATCAACATCGGACCCGTAAAATCAGAGGGTGCAAAAAGCAAGACGGACATTCGCACAATACGCTGACACGAGGAAGGAGGGCTCACTCTGCGGTACTAAACGCCAGCTGGAAGTTGTCCTTGGCCTTGTTCGGGTTCAGGGTGGAATACTCAAACGCGTCGGGGAAGAAACGGTGCACCAAAGCGCAGAAGGCGATGCCATCTTTCCAGCTGGAGGAGAAGTTGTGGATGTCCACTCCCTAAAAGAGCGCACACATTTGTGATGACAAAAGACAGAGCGGATCAGCAAGTCACAGCGGGGCCGTGATGACCCCATATGGCTCCGTTTTGGCCTTGCACCAGTCCAGAAGCATCTGTTTGACGTTTTTAGCATTGGGGGCTGCAGAGGTGGGGCATTTTTGGGTGGCTTGAGCAGGACTGGCTTTACTGAGGAGGAGAAGTTAGGATGGTAGAGTACACATCTAATAGCACAGCAAATTCAGGTTTCCTCGCTTTACCACGGCAAAAGAATACATGCTCACGTCGCACACAGTTAATACAGTAAAAGCCGTATGTGGCATTTTTCACTGGATGTGTTAGTTTTATACCTCAAAAGTGATTTTCAGACCAGAATTGACTCTTAATATGACTCTTTAACAGATGCTAATGTAGTAGTAGACTAGAACATGTTCAGACTTCGATAGAAGTCCAGGTTATGTCACCACTTTAAGACTAGAATGCCACCCTAAAGCGAGGACTCCCTCAATACTCAAAAGAAGAGTTTAAATTTAAAGTCCAACTTATTCGTGGACATTAACATGACATTTTCTTTATGTGGTTTCACATTGTTTTCATGTTTGGAAAATACTACGTTTTTGTTTTTGAAATAAATGATTTAATTCCTTAAATCGTGGAGTCTTTTCTCAATGATGCTGTCTGCCAATTAATCTCAGTGTGTTTTTGATAGAAATTGCAAAAATAATACAATGTCTACAGTGGCTACTGTTTCCCCCCCAAACAGCGACCTCCATCACAATGGATGCCGTGGCCTAAGTAATTGCTAACACCTAATGAGGATACGTAAAGGCCAAACACAGGAGTAAATATATCGTCAAAATTTTTTATGTAATCGTTTTTCATCCTGTAACTTTGGTTATGCAATATTCACTAATGCGTCAGCGTATGCCATTTTTGGACATTACGATGTATGACGAGCAAAAATAACGACGGTGTTATATTAACAGAACTCGGTTAAATAACATTTAATAGAAAGTAGTCAGACAGAAGAGGACCCAAACTATCAGCAGAGTAAAGGCAAGAGGAATTATCATCTTTGCTTGTTATTTTTTTTCATTGTGTGGATAAACGCATCAGGTCGACGTTTTATAATTCAAGGCATAGACATATTCATACAAATATGTGGTGTGTAACTTCACTCTTTTTGTTTTACTATTACCGAATTTTGGCAGAGAAGCGTTGTTCATGCGCGCATATACGGCATGACATCGATACGTTATGTTCGTACAAAAGTTACGTTGGTGTCGTAAGAACAACCTCGGAATACCTCGTCGCGTCGTGACGACGCGGCTTTGCGCCGTTCGCCGTTTTGGTTTGCTGCGGTTATAAATACTCGTTTTTTTTTCCTTCTTTAGTGACTTTGTAGATGACGCAATGCCCCCAAAGGGCAAGGCGGAATCTTCCGGTGGTCACACTTCAAAGAAAATCAAAGCCATCACCTTGGATTTGAAGCTAAACACGGTGCAGCCATCGAAACGCAGACGAATATCGGCCGCGTGCCAAAACCGCCAAGTAAAGGTAAGTAATTAGTCTCTTCCTTTCCAATCGTTTTTTTTTGTTTTACTATGACCCAATTATAGCACAGAAATGTTGTTCACAGAGGTATATACGACATGACATAGGCAGTAGTGTCGAACTCATTTTTGTTACGGTCTACTTTGGAGTTACGTCTTCCCACGGAGGGCCGTTATGTCAGTGAAATCAAATGTTTAATTGTCTCATCGTATTATTACTTGTACACAACAAACGTATGGATTACTAGTTTTGAAAATCGGTCAACTATCATAGTTTGTTCAGTTATTTTTCAAGTGAGTGTAAACAG